GAATAGATGATGATGACAGAGAGATGATGATAGATGATAGATCCTCGTTGAACTTCACTAGAAAAAGGAGTTCTGTGAATATTTAAATTGCATATGAAAAGTAATAAAATTTAATCATAAAATAAAGCTTCATATTTAGTCTTTGTAAACTGATATATTAGGGTATTATATACAATTAAGGAATTTTAGATATCGAAACACACTAATGAAACTACACATCAGATTAGAAACTGTATTTTTAAAAGTAACCAGTGTTTAACAGAGCATATCATTGTTTTACATATGAAATGGTAATTAATATTTCCTTTAAGTTCTCTCTATGCACACTGCCTTGTGCTGGTTCTCAGATGATAACCACTGACGTAAAGACACCGTGCCACACTTTCCCTCCTCTCTGAGATTTCTTCGCGGAAGCCCAAATGTTTTCAAGATTTTTTAGTGTGATTACTTCTACCCACAGCCCTACTCAGTGGAGCAAATACAAGTATTCAAAATCAAAACAATTTCCGATTAAAGAATTTGTCTTTCATTGGACAAGTATAAATAATATATGTCTTTTGACTTTTAAAAAGTCCTCTTAGCTCTAGATTTTCTTACAAAATTTTCGTTAGCTTCTCCTACAGAATGAAGATCTTTTACTATCTTCTCTATTTCCTGTGTTATATGGCCTTCATTCTACCAAGTAAAATAAATATTTTTGGACTATTTGTAATATATAGCTTCTAACTAGAAATAGAAATGCCAGTTGATCAAACACAAAATGTAGGTTCTTCACACAATCTTCTCAGTTAAAGAAGGGCTTTAGCTACATTGAATCTTAATTTGTCAATTGGAAAACATCTATAGGATGGTATCTTAGTTGAACAATGATGTGGACTGGCTGTTGGTAAAACCTAAAATTAAGAAAGATGTAGTGAAAAATGTTCATTGTACATGGACACATGTAGAACAGAGTGGTCCAAACAGGGTAACGCCAGTCTAGAGGAATTGAAGCAAGAAAATTCTACAGGGTTAGAAGTACCTGAATTTGACCACAGAGATACAGAAGGCTGTGTCCACCTCATTCTAAAGAATAGCTTGTTGTCACATCAATCAAGGTAGATACTAAGATTGGCATCATTTATAGCTGTGAAAGAAGTGTCACTCCTCAACTGTACAATGAATTATAATGTATTAATTTCTATATCTTTGTAAACATTAAAATAATATAATCAAAATTTTTCATGCTTTGAGGGGACAAGGTAGTATTTCAAAGTGCACAGGAGAATGATGCAGAGAAAAAATGGGCAAGTAGTAGAATTTGTGATTCATGTGTAGACACTTCTTAAGATAGCCAAAAATAGGCTGTAGACCTCAAATAGGAGAATCTAGGTGGATTTAGTAGCAGGAAAACATGTTAAGGGTCACTGGCAGGCTGAGGTGGGAAGACTGAAAAAGAGATTCTCTCCTGTGGTGAAGGAGACAGTTGTGTTACTAGTGATCTAGGTTTAGTATGTTAACATCAAGGCAATTAAATCACCAAACACATGTAGTTACTTGAAAACTATAAAGAAATATAAATATGCAAAATAGAGAACATAATAATAATAATAATAGTAAGAGATGACTATATACCTTAATAACAGACCTAATAAATACCAAAGCTACTAAAATACAGAAGATTCAAAACTGAAAATTAACCAATCTCTAAATAAAAAACTGTATCTCAATGAATATTAGAAAAGATTTTGACATGAATGGTAATAAAAATGAGAAAAACCAAAGTTTATGTGGCCATGATGTAATGCTGAAAGAATTTGAAATATGTTTACACTTCCTGTAACCACATGTCTGAAAGACTGAAGGCTGAAGATGTAATTTATGAAGCTAGAAAAAAAGTCAAATTAAATTCATGGTGAGAGCAATGTAAGACATAGACAGATTCTAACAAACGATCAGGCAGTAGAGAAAACCTTCAAAGGCTACACTTTGTTTCTGAAGAATACTAAATTTAGCAAAGTTTTAAAACTATAGAGAAAGCAAATGAGGGAGAAACCTGAATTCACAAATATGTACCAAATATTAAAATGATGCTATATACATAATTAGAACGTGATTACAACACAGTAAAATTATAAAGTGGATAATACTTAGGAAAACATTCAACATACTAAGGGATAACAACAACAACAATAAACAAACAAACAAAAAAACAGACCGTGGAGTATTTAAAGTTATCAAAGCAAGAGAATTTGATATCCAGAGCTAATAGTTTCACTCCTGAGTTGCAAATATTTAAAGAAAAATAATATCTCTATACACAAATTCTTCCAGAAAATTAAACTAGAAAAGATTTTTCCACGTTATTTTATGAAAGTAACACTATTGGTATAAAAAATAATGACATTTAGAGAAACTTATAGGCAAATCTCCATCATGAATATGAATAGAAGAGCCTTCAAAACTAAAACACAGAAATAAATTGCAATCATGTTGCTTTTTGAGTTCTTGGCTTTTAAGACTAGTATAAGTTTCTAAAATCAATGTCACCACATGAATAGACTAGAGGAGAAAATTTATTAGGTTGATCAATAAACAGGATTGTTGATAAAATTTATTTTTAAGTATTCACAAATAAACAATGAACACAATTAAGTGTTTACATCTAAGAAGGTTTAACTATTTAAAATATGCAATAACTATCATAAGGGACAACATAATCATATTTTTAATTTTCAGTTAATAAGTAAAATAATTATGCAGTTCGCATTGAATTAACATCCTAGCCAGTGCATTAATTAAAAAGTACAATTTTTAAAGACTAGTAAATTTAAAGATTATCACTCTTCAATTTATTTGCAAAGCGTTCCTCTGATGAATTAAAAGAACAAAGGGAATTTACTCATGCTATTCAATACAAAATCAATATACATCAAAATCACTTGCAGCTGCATAGAATAAAATAAGCGTATCGGATCCCCTGGAGCTTGAGTCAGGGATGGTTCTGAGCCTCCATGTGAGTTGCTGGGATCTGAAACTGAGACTGAGAAGCGCTCTTCAGCACTGTTCCATCTCCCCAGTCCCCAAACTCAAGTTTTTAAGGAGGTATTCTGCACTAATGGGTTTGAGGATTCACTGTGAGAAGCTCTTCTTCCAATTTGATCAGAAGAGTCAATGCACTCTTAACCACATTAAAGGATGTTTGTCTGGCTTTCCCTATTTGTATGTGAAGTCTCTATAACATTTCTGAAATTTGTAAGGACATATTAAGCACTAAATAACAATGACGATTTTCTTATCAAAAGAAGGCTTCAATGGAAGGATTTGTTCAAAAGTATAATGATGCGCTGTAAAGAGAGAAGCAGGAGCTGAAGAGATGGCTCAGTGTTAAGATCACTAACTGCTCTTGCAGAGGACCCGGGTTCGGTTTCCAGTACCCAGATGGCGGCTATCAGCCATCCATAGTTCCAGTTCCAGGGGATCTGACGTCCTCTTCTGACCTTCACAAGCATTGCATGACATGGTGCACATATATACATGTAGGCAATACACTCATACAGTTAAAAACAATAAAATATTTTTAAAAAGAGAAAAGCACAAATGTAGCAGAATAGAGAATCCAGAGAGAGAGCAACGTGAGGTATAGCCACTTCCTGAGGACGATGGCTACTCAGAACAAATACCTAACAAACTTTGCAATACGTAAAATAGGGCTATGAGGTCAATCCGCAGGTAAATGAGGTTGCCATTAAGTCTGAGGAACTGAGTTTGATACCCAGAACACATGTGGTGGAAGGAGAATCCTGACTCTGCAACTTGTCCTCTGACTCTCTGACTGCCATACGTATGCTGTGGCACGAACACACACACACACACACACACACACACACACACACACAATTAATTAATGTGTTTTAAATAAAAAAGTAAGTAGAATAGATTTCAGTGCTGACATATAAATTAAAACAAAACTGGACCCCTTCCTCTTACCATAGCCAAAATCCAATCCAAGTGAATTAAGCATTAAATATCAAAAAACACTTCACATAAGTTACAGTAGAAGAATTTACTGACAGCTTTGCCATACAAAGGGCAATATTTTTAAATTTCATTATTTAATTTACTATGTGTACACAGGCACGTGTGTGCCACATCATAGATATTTAAAAATAATGTGTATTTGTCATAATTTTAAAATATAAAAGTTCTTTAAAAATTTTCATTGAAGTTTTGCCATTTTATACAGTATTGTTTGATGGTATTTAGATGCCCACCCGATTCCTACATCCCATTACTGCCCCCCACCCAAGAGAGTCTGATTTGTGTCAGCAAATGTACTTCACTGTGGGTGCATCCACTGGAGCCTAGTTAATGTACCAAGAATCCCATTTTTCAAAGAAACCGTCTCTGCCCGCCCCCCAGCAGCCATTTGTTGCCAGTTTCCTGAGGTGGGATTGGAACTTCTTATCTCCTTCCTCATGTCTATGCTGAGATTTTTTTTTTCTGGTTTGAGCTTGGCTGGGAGTTGTAATTCTGTCACTATTGCTGTGAGTTTATATAAGCAGTTGAGAAGCTGTCTGGAAAACTCTGTTTCCTTGTGGTCATCCAACACATCTGGTGATTGCAATTTTTCTGGCCCTCTTCTGCAATGATTCCTGAGCCTCTGGGGGGCAGAAGTTTGACATAGATAGTCTACTGGGGGACAAGCCCTCTGTAGCCTCTTGTTCGCTGCATGTTGATCAGTTGTGGTGTGGGTTTCTATATTAATCACTGTGTTGAATAAGGAAACTTCTCTGGTGAGAGTTGAGAGATGCTTTAATCTATAGATATAACAAGTCATTAAGAGTCAATTTAATATAACTGTTTAGAAAAAAGCTAGTATTAGCTTCTTCCCTATGTCCTGTGATCTGTGTAGCCTCAGGTTCATAAGCCCGATATCAAAATCAGGTATGGGCTCCATCCTAGAAAGTGGATCTTAAATACAATTAAATCCTATAATATTTGTACCACTACTGCACTGGTGGGTATATCTTGCCAGGCCAGTTGTTATTGTAGTTCACAAGATTCACTACTGGGTAAAGTTGAAGATTATTGTTTCCTTTTGTCATAATTTTAAAATATTAAAAGCTTTTATATGATCTGATGGTTTAAAATAGCTATAAATTTGGAAATAAACATGTCGCAAGGTCATATTAGACAGCACTAGAAAAAACTAAATTCAGCTGAGAAAAACATAAAACTTGAATTTTGAATGGTATGTTAAGAAATGAAGTGATTTCAATTATATATGTCACTATTAAACATTTCAGCATATTCATATTTTAGATATTTTAACTTGAGACAATTGATTTCTAGCATTTTCTGTAATAAAAATGATATATAAATGATACATGCTTTAAAAAGAGATCATTAATTTAAGTTATTCTTCTTTTAATGTAGCCACATGCACCTTGGTGAGTTCTGATGGCTGCTCGCAACGTAAAGGTGAATGTAAGAGAAACTGCCTTGACGATGAAAAGCAAATTGACATCTGCCTCTCACCACGTATGATTTGTTGTACTGAGACAGTGATATGAGAATCTAGTTTGAAAAAGAAGCCAAGCTTTGGACAAGATGCTATATGTGCATTAGTGAATGATAATACGTGCCTCCAAAATAAATAAACACAAACTATATTGCTGTCATTCTTTGCAGTTGATAATTACATTTGTAATGGAATGAGGCAGGAAGTCCTATTTTCTCTGAGTTAGAAGTTTCCATAGAAGTGTGTCTGCAGCTAAGTTCCTAACACATGCATAGCATACATGCTTCATCTTAGAGTTACGGGCCACCTAAACTTGTACAGTTTATATCTTTCCCAGCTTGATCAGGATCTCATTAGAATCTGGATTTGTGAAAGCCAAAACTTAGGGGCTTTCTACTTGTCTAAATAACATAGTAACTTTATTAGAGTCAAGATATAGAGAAACTGAAGCAAGAGGTAAATATGCATAGCAGGCCTAGAGGTGCCTGTTGGCCCTTTCTCTTTTTTCTGTCCAAATTTTGCTCATTCAAAAAGGGGTATGAGGCCTGGAGAGATGACTCAGGGGTTAAGAGCACTGGCTGCTCTTGCAACAGCCCTGGGTTTGATTTTAGCTCCCACATTGTAACTAATAATCTTCTGTAACTCCAGTTCAAGGGGATCTGATGCCCACTTCTGGCCTCTGAGGGCATTGTACTATATGGGTGCATTTACATACATGTAGATGAAACACTCATACACAAAAAATAAATGAATAAATAAAAAATTTAAAAGGATACCACAAACCTTACATTATTCAATCCATTAAGAACTGGGTTTATACAGCTGGTCAACATGCAGAAAATAAGAGACTACAGATTCCTTATCCCTGAGAGGTACATTCATTTAAAACCCTTTTCTCCCAAAGCCTGGGGATCATTGCAGAAAAGGGAACAGACAGATTGTAAGACCCAGAGGTGGTAGATGACTATAAGAAAACAGTGTTCTCTAGATACCAGGGCAGTTACTCATATGTATTCACAGCAATTGTGATAGCATACACAAGAGCTAGCGTAGCTCACAATTCCCAGCATAGAGAGGGGAGGTGGGTAAGAAGCCCCAACTGTAGTTAAGGAAAGATTAGGCAAATTATAACTGCTGGGAAGAGAGCCAATATTCTTTAAAGATATGACGACAGGTACATTGATTGATCAGGTTCTAGAGGATGGACACACACTTGCCCAAGGGCATTTAGAGACATAATAATAATAATAATAATAATAATAATAATAATAATAGACATAAAGAAGACAAAGTCTTGGCGATACCCCATTCCATGTGGCTGCAGGCTTTGTTGTGGTAGGGAAATTGGTTGAGTGGTTAATAAGAAAGGGGTTCAGATAGTGGAGCTGGGTTTGAATATGATCAAAACACATTGCATGAAATTCTCAAAAATTCAATAAAAATATTAAAAGAACTATGTTTAACTGCAGCCTGAACTTTAAAGATCTAGACTCATAGCCAGTTTTATTAGCATTTTGTTACTTAGTTCTGGATACAATGGGGAAAATCTTTTATTTCAATTTCAATATATAAATACTAGACAACACAAATATTTTCTTTAATACTAATATTAAAAGGTGGGTGGTAATTTGAAAGGGAGAAAATGTTTTCTAGTAAGTACAAAGAATGAATTAACTCTGAATCAACATTTTTCCAGGTGCCCATATATATTTGTTTTTAAAATCTAATTACTGCCCCAGAATTACTATTTTGTTTTGTTTGGAGGGGTTTTTTTGACAGAAAACTCTGCACATGTTTAGCATCATAATTAAAACTAATGACCAGAATTGTAATCTTAAACCAAGCCATGTACCAAATGCTTTGGAGGAGCTTAAATAATACCTCTAAACACAAGTTTAAGTCATTGGACATACAAGTTAAAGATAACGAGAATAGCCAAAGTATGTGCTAGGATAGAATACAAAGACGGACATAAGGATCAAGTCTGAGGATTTTAGAAAGAAGACGCAGAAGTACAGGAGGCTAAAAGATTAAGTGGAGATGGGGATGAGAATTGGGTGATTGTAAGGAGTGATGAGTAGGTTGATCAAAAGTAAGGGTACATGAAAATGCCTTTGGAAACTCATTAGCAAGTCCTTGGTGCCTCTTCCACGGCTGAAAGAAACACCTTCTTGCTTTGTCTTCTTAGAGTCTTTCCTTTCCCAATAAGCATCCCTTGTGTTGGTTCTTTATCTATATAAAGAAACAGAACTTATCTGATTAGATTCACATGCTTATAAGCTTTCAAATTTTTTCCTCTTTTATTTTTATTATTTTTTTAAGAATCTCATACATACGTACTGTATTTACATCACAAGTGCAATCTCATTGAGAAGAAGGACCTCAACATAGAACGAGGCACAGGCCTCTACTCACCCCAGATAGAGAAAAAACAATGGACCAAAGTAAGGATATCATTAAAGAAGTCCCAAGTAAGGATATCACCAAAGTTCAACTTGGTGAACCAATGATCTTATTGTGGTTACTTACAGGAGTGTGAGTAAGGGGTTACTTACAGCAGAAACTGACTCAAAGACACCTGCATCATCAAAAGCCCAGCCCAGTTTGGGTGACTCACAGAAGCAGGAAATTTGGAGCATACTGCATAGCCTACAGGCAGCTCCACAGATTGGAGAGTGTTCTTACCCTTTCAGGGTGACTCAGTTGCTCCAAACCTCTTCAGGCAGTTAGAGTTGTCTACAAGTGTCTCTCATCATTCTTGAGGAGGGAGGGACCAAGTGAATTTGTTCAATTGTAGGGGCTTCCTAAAGCTATTCAGTTGTCTACTTCCCGAGCTTAGGGAGCTTCAGTGTTGGATGAGATGTTTCATTGCTCTCAAAACATCTCGTTTGTTTAAATATTTATTTCATTTTATTTTTATTTTATTTATCTTTTTATTTTATAATTATTATTTTATGTTTATAAGTGTATTGCCTGCATGCATATAAGTGCACCTATATCATGCAATGCCCAAAGAGGTCAGAAAAGGCCATTAGATCCCCTAGAACTGGAGTTATGAACAATTGTTGGCCACATGTGGGCTCTGGGAATCGACCCCAGGTCCTCTGCAAGAGCAGCTAGTGCTCTTAACCACTGAGCCATCTCTCCAGGTCCTCAAACATCCTATTAATGAAAGCTTTATCCTGGAGGAAAGCTGGACATAGTGGTACACACTTTTAATTCTGGCACTCAGGAGGCAGAAGCAGGCAATTCTCTATGAGTTCCAGGCCAGCTTGGTCTATATAGTGACTGCCAGGTCAATCATAACTACATAGTGAGACCCTGTCAAAAGGAAGGAAGGAAGGAAGGAAGGAAGGAAGGAAGGAAGGAAGGAAGGAAGGAAGGAAGTGAGTAAGATGTTGGAGAAGATGAAGGGTAACAACTCAGTTTATAACAAGAACTGATGAAATACTCAATGAAAAAAGACCCCATGAAATGGGTAATCAATGTTTTCAAAATGTATAAAAGTCTTTAATGCCCTGTGCAGTTACTGAAACACAAATACACAGCACACCTATGCCCATTTCACAGCTTCATTGGCTGTAGTTCAAAGACACACATTTGTGTGGCAATTTCTATTCAAGCTGAATTTGAATATACATCTTATAAAAATATTTTCTTATGATCCCACATTCACAGAGGGCTATTCAGCTAGAAGGCTATTTCTATACTTGAAAGAATTCTCTTTAAATCAATGCTAAAATATGCTAATTAATCATTTTCATGAACAAAAATCAACTTTGTACACAATTATCTGAAAAAAATATTGTGTACTTTTTAAGAGACTTTTATATTTTTATAACATTTAACTAAAATTAATTTAGTGTGCTTCAGAAGTTTATTCCTTTCTCTTTTTTAGCATTGAGAGTTGGACCCACAGCCTCATTCATTCTGTGCCAGTGTTCTACCACTGTGCTATATCCCAATATTTATTTTACTTTTAAAAATTATTACATAAATTATTATCATGTGTGTATATGTGTATGTGTGTATGTGTGGGTGTGAGTGTGTGTGCGTGGGTGTGTATGTGTGTATGTATGTGTATGAGTGTGTGTGTCAGTGTGTGTGTGTATGTATGTCTGTGAGTGTGTGTGACTGTGTGTGTGTGTGTGTGTGTGTGTGTACATGGCAGAAGACAATGTGCAGGAATAAGTTCTCTCTTTTTACCACATAGAGTACAGGCTTAGTAGCAAGAGCCTTTCTTTGCTGAATCATTTCACTTTTTATTTTAAGACAGTTTGTCCAGATGAACTTTGAACTTTTCTATCCCAGACAAACCTTGGGCTGCCTCAAACTCATTGGTTTCTGCGATTACAGCCCTGTACCCCTAAGTTTGGCATACTGATATTTTCCTAAACCCAACATCATTTGAAAACAGAAACATGTTATATTTTACATCCACAAAAAATAAACATGAATATAGCTATATATGGGACCTCTTCATGAAATCACCAATTTTTAGTTAAAACCTGTCTTGTTTTCATCACTATTATTTGCTTGTACATTATGGCGTCTGAAATAGCACAACATCTTTGAGAGGCTTGTTAGGCAGTTTTGTTCACCGACTTCATTATTCTCAGCTGGCAACTATCAGAAATCAGTGCTATAGCTCCGATGTTCTACAGAGTCCTTCCCGAGTTCTTAAAAAAGATACTTTCTTTGAATAATAGTGTTATAATAGCAGTGAGGACCCAGTAAGGGTAAGCTGTCACCACTATCCAAAAGAATGGATTCTATATATGGGTGGAAATATGCCATTATCTCCTCCTTTAAGAGGCAGTCCAGTTGGGCCAGTCGGTCACCTGATGAAGGAACCACCCCTCAGGAAGGTTGGTCCACCTTAAGCTGAGAGAAGGGGGTAGGAGGAATCAGGACCCTTTTGATGAGCAGGTGTGCTGTGTGCTTTTCCTTTCCAGAATTCCCATCCCCCTAGTGCACTACCTATTTCCTTCCAGGAGGTTCTGTCAGGTCTGCTTGCCTAGCTGAGTCCGGACACTGGAAGGTCTAACTTTT